TATCGTTTTTTTTCTTTTTCTCTTGCGTTTTGTTTGTCCGTACCTTAAGCCTTGAGCACGCAGAAAAGGTACCTCGGGAGGAAGAAAGTAAGGCAAGGTATGTATGGGAAGATGAGGTACCTACGTAGGTACGTAGGTAAAAGGTACGGATATGAGTCGCCAAAAGTGAGGTAAGTGGTGTGCACTGTTGCCGTGCCTGCTTCTTGTGTGGTATGGTTTGTGCGGGTGGAAGGTAAGTACCTAAGGCAGTGGAGGGCAGCGAGCGGTAAGGCGAGCAAGACAGAGCGGAGTGAGAGCTGGGCGGGCAAGGAATGGGAGAGCCGAGAGAGGGCGAGAGAGTGAGACTGGGTCAGGTTTCTTACCTAACCTTGGGTATTACCTTCAGGCAGGTACCCAAAGTGCATGGGAGGTTCCTTACGTTACGAAAAGCCAGCACCCAGGCACGCCACACTACGGAAAGTGTAAGGTACCTTCCCGTCCCTTCCTCCTTCGGATACCCAAATTACTCCTCACTGCCGTAAGGCGCTAACACTGGGGATCATCATCTCTATGCACTGTTTGGGTTCTTCAGAGACGCTGGCTTGTGGCGTCCCAGAGGATGACTTCTTTTTTTATTTTGCCCATCTCCTTCCTTCAAGCCTCCCCAGTCTGTCTGCAACGAGGTCGAAAGATACGACGGCTTACCTACGCAGTACGTGATGTACAGATTAAATACCCCCGGCCAATGAGAACGAAGGTGACAACATGTTTGGCCTTCAAGTCATCGGCGTTGGGCTTTGCTGCCCATACCTATTTGTAGGTACCTTATTGAGCCTGCACCTGCATGGTGGCACTTCCGCCCTCTCCCACCTTCCCAGCCCAATTAAGACGGTGAGTCCTCTGTCGTCTGTACCGTGGATGAATACCTGTCAGGCAATCTCTAACGAGGGGAAGTTATCCAAGTAGAACAGCCAGCAGCACCTGGCAGCAGAAGCCGTCTGCCATGCAATGCCTTGCCAGTGGGGCTTTCATTGGGCGTCCCCCCTCTTCTCCCAGCGGAGAACGGGACAAGTCTGTCTCGTTCTCACTGGACATGGAAAGGGAACCCGTGATGATGATGGGGATCCAATGCTATTTACAGTGGAATTGCAATGCTCCTGCCAGGACGAGCGTGTGGATACCATACCTTTGCCCCCATTGGCGCTTCAGCCGAGGAATCAAGTTGACGTCGGTGCACGGTCCACCGCAAAGATGCCCGCGCAGCGGAGAAGTAGGAGGGGCTTCACAGCATTTTTGGGCGCTTGGCTGAGCAGGAACGAGGTCAGGAGCAGACAATCTGACCCGGGACGCGAGAGGTTGCCTTCCTGTCGAAACCTTACCCCCAAAGTTTCTTACATAAGACACCAAGGCACCTTTTCACAGTACAGAACCTTGATTTTCAAGTCCGATGATGACAGTCAACCAATTCCTCAATAAGAGAAAGTCACAACATCAATTAAGCCAGGTTGCCTTTGAGAAAGCTGTGGTAAACATCGCAAGGGGGAAAAAAGCATCCGATCACCTGCAACATCACGTGGATCTGGCTGATCTTCGGCCATCTCCCTCCTTGGGATGATCTCGAAACGGGGCTCCACCAAAATTTGGATATACGAGTTTACTTTAGATAAACGCCGATGCAAGCTTCGGGAAAGATTGATCTAAAGTAACATTGCCGTCGTATGTAATCTGCTGATCCCAACGGGCCTGCTCCACCCATCTAACGACTCATCGTGAGCCTCGGGACGAGACCAGGGACCTCACTCGGTCTCGGAACTTGTTCACCGGCTTCTTCTCACAAGCGTGCTGGTCTTTTGCAACCCCCTTTTACTTATTCAACCTCAGTCAGATCACTTCTGACTGCTACATCAGTCTCTTATGCATCTTGCGTTGTCCGAAAATATGTTTGCATCTTCAGCTGCGTCCTTGCCTCTCATCTTGCCCTGCGTCGTCTTCAGAGAAGACAATTTATGTGATGCCTAGCCAGCCACCTGTAGCTGCAAAATATGCTTGGTCCAGACTGTGGTCTTGCTTACCCGTTGCTTTGCGTCGTCCGATAGTTCGACCGGTGCTACGGTCCGAACAGCTATTAACAAGCTACAGCGACCCATGCGCCGTACAAACGTCTGGTTTTCGGTCATTAGGTGAATAGGTTGGCTCGAGTGATATCGTGGTCTGTGTAGATGAGAATCTACGACTCAGCTTCCCAGCGGGACAGAGGAACATGGGTTGAGCTGACATGGTGATGCAGCTAGGTATCACTTTCGCTTAACTTCATCTGCTAGATGTACCATCTGAGCTTTTTTAAGTAACACTACCTATGACTATAGTCTATCTCGGGCTCTTCGAGAAATGTTATGCCTTGTTCTCTTATGAGCTAAGTGCTCAATTCAGCATCGTTCCATAAGATACGACTCCAGAAGTCCCGGTGCCAAGTATCGTGATGTACTCATTGAACATCTGCGCTATCTATGCCCTTCTGACGGTTTTCAGAGTGGCATTCTTTGCCACAGTCATATCAAACTCTTTATTTTAGAGTATGAGCTTGATCTGCCCCATTATTGCCTAGTTCCGCATTTCCTTGTGGACAGACCTGGCGGTTTGCTGTCAAATGTGTCAAGGCACGACTCACTCAAGAGGTACGCTGCCCCTGGAATGAGACCATCGCAAATGCCTTCTATGGTCATCATGTTCGGGACCCTCGTAGTTGAGGGACCAATTGTGGCCATTTTCAATCTCTTTAACATGACGAGCTGATTCTATTCATGTTGCTGCAACTTGCTCCCTAGGATGGATGATCTTGAAAAGGCGAGATGACCAGAGTTGAAATGGCCTCATCGGCCGAGTGGGTTTCCGCAAGGAAGTGAGAACTAATTTCACCCCTTCTCACCACCCTAATTGTACAGTGAGTCTATCATCTAACATGACTGATTTGACGTAGTCGGTCATTCGGCGTGAGTTTGACACATTTCGTTCGGTGAGAGACGTCCTAAGCCGAAGGCAAAGGGCTCCAACTACTTCCAACCCGATATCTCTTGAAGCATTTTGTGAATATTCCAGCGCACACAGGATAATTGAGAGAGGGAAAGAGGCTGATATCCACCATCGAAGCTTTCGGGTACCGTGTTGACCATGCAGCGAACTCAACGTGGCATAGTCTCGTAAACACACCATCCTCGCCCCTGGAAGCAGAGCGCTTGTCCCGGAGATACAGAGAGTGAAGATAGACGAGGTAGACCCAACTTGAATATGTTTAGTTACGGAACTACACTAACTGAAAGTCCCACATCAATGCTTTTCGATCAACCGACTATATAATTGCTAATTGACGCGTTTATTACTCGCGCGCGTAGACATCTTGCCGACTGGTTATCCCGTGCTGGAGCTACGACCGCACACACGTCCGACTTCACCCCAGCGTTGCAACAACTCATCAACACAACGAGCCCAAGTCCTCTCCAACGCTCTCAAGTAAAGTACCCCCACCTCACAGTTTCGAAGGCCTTGATGCCCATCAATCTGGTGATTTTCGTAACCCATCATCACCAAGTGGAGTACACCGATAAGGACCCTCCCAAATCAAACCATCTCATACGCCACCCCTATCTTCGCCACCAAAGACTCTATCGTACTCAAAAGCACACTCAGCAACACGGCTCTAGCGTCCTTTGTACTAGACACTATTTTCCTGCTTTGCTGAGCAAGAGTTGCGGCATACTCTCATCCTGATCAATCCCAACTCAAACGTGAGACCATTTCCCTTCCAATACCAAACAATCCCAAAGTAACCCCGCCCCCACTTCGTTCGCTTCCATCCATCCACCTCTCAACTGACAACCTTGCCACCCAGTTTCCCATGAATATGAACGACACAGAAGGTCTCGCGATCGCAATCGAGGAAGCCAAGACCGGCGCCTCAGAGGGTGGCGTCCCGGTACGTTAAAACTCATCACCATCCGGGGAAAACGTACGACCCCTAACCCGACCCCAGATCGGAGCCGCCCTCGTCTCCGCAGACGGCAAGCTCCTCGGCCGCGGCCACAACCGCCGCGTCCAGATGGGCTCGGCTATTCACCATGTAAGTCAAACAAGTCTTCCGATGAAACCCCCCTTCCCCCAATCACAAATCGTATCAAAAACTCAAACGGCTTTGGATACTAGGGCGAAACCGACGCCCTCTTCAACTCAGGACGTCTGCCCGGAAAGGCATACAAGGGCAGCACAATGTACACGACTCTTTCCCCCTGCGACATGTGTGAGTCTCCCTCCCCTCTCTTCCCCTTTGAATGCTGAACCCGGTTCTCAACCTCTTCCACCAGGCACCGGAGCCTGTCTGCTCTATGGCATCTCTCGCGTCGTCATCGGCGAGAACAAGACCTTCCTCGGCGGCGAGGAGTACCTCAAGCAGCGCGGCGTGGAAGTCATCGTCGTCGATAGCGCAGAATGCAAGGCTCTCATGGACAAGTTTATTGCTGAAAAGCCTGAAGTCTGGTAAGGAAGATGCCCGTCCCCTGCCAACCGGACGGCACATCTTGCCATTAAAGCACCTCGAGAGAAAAATACTGACCAAGCCAGGAACGAGGATATTGGGGAGGAATGAAGTAAATAGCCAAAGGTGGACAACGTATGTATAGGTAGTGAGCGTTTGACAACGTATCACGCATTATGTTGGCTACCAGAGCCTTGAGCTACAGCTTTACTCGAGAACTTGCTTTATTCAACACTAGGACATCTAGCAACCGCCCTTGGCACAAGGAACTCATCCCGTTCTGCCAGCCTCCCCGGTGCAGCCAGTTGCTATCACAAGACAACGTGTCTGTACCTTGACACAAGTTTTTCTTTCGCGCTTGAACGAAATGCATAATCTACACTAGCGGGGCGGGAGTTTCCGCTCTCCGGCCCTGGACTTCAACCATTCCTTATACCTCATACCATCTTCCAAAACTCCCCAAAGTCGCAAAATGAAAGAAACATGCCGTAGTCTCTCAAGAGAGCAAGTTGCGTAGAGAAGGACTAGTGCTCGCTCCCGCGGGTCGAGGCGGCTCGTTGGAAGGGCGCATGCCGGGTGTCCTCAGCGGACCTCCGGCATCATGAGCTGGGGGACTTCCGTATGGTGAACGCTGCGGAAGAAGTCCCTGAGCGAACGCATCGGGGCCTCTAGGCTGAGGCCCGCCATTTGGTAGGCCGTGAGGTGATCCGTGAGGAGGTTGCCGATAAGGATGCACATAGGGCGGTGCGTGTGGACCATGGGATCCATGAGACATGGGCCCCGCCATCAGCGGCGAAGGCGGCATTCCGTGATGCACAGGCTGGCCGATATGTCCATTGGGACCGGATGGTGGTGTAGGGGCCATCGACATTGGAATCATTGGCGGAGGACGTAGGTTAGCCAACGGCTGGAAAATAGGACGCTGTGGTGGCGATCCATGACGTGGAGGTGGGCGACTGTTCCACTCGTATCTTGGTGCCGGAGGAGGGCCATAGGGACCCGGAGCTTGGTGAGGAGCTGGAGCCGGGTTTGGCGGCGGTGGTGCGGCAGCAGCCTGAACTGGCGGCGGCACGGGCACAGGCACAGGCGCTGGATGCGGAGCTGCAGGCTGGGAGGCAGACGGCTGTGGAGGAGGTGCCGGAGCAACCCAGGCATATGAAGAGAGGCTTCGAGCTCTGGCCTCTGCGCCGGTCGTTGGTGGGCTCCTCAAGGGCGGAGGAGGTGCTGCGAGAGCGTGATGTGCGGGGACAACCGGTAAAGGTGGAGGTGGTACCAACCTCGCAGCAGCCTCGATGACTGGAGATGGTTCTTTGGGTGCATGGGGAACCGGCTTCCTCTTCAATTTGCGGCACTTGTGACACTGGAACTTTCTCTGCTCGACAAACTTCTGAGCCTCTGAGCCAAGGCTTCCGTAGTGACCATTGGTGAGTTCCCGCTCATCGGAGTTTTCAATGGGCCACCACTTGAGAGCGACGTCGATGCCACAGGTAATGCATATCTTCTCCCCTGCTTGGTGAGTGCTCGGGGTTTCGCTGTTCACACTCTGAGAAACAACGTTAGAAGGTGCAGTGGTGGTTGATGCTCGCCGAGTGCTTGGCGTCACAGGAACACCTCCCATCTTCGCAGCATTCGTCATCAGGTTGGCCTTTCTGACTGTGCCAGTCAAGGTGAGATCTGCCTGCTTGTAGCTCTGTACATAGTACTGTAGAGCAGTGAGGCCATCCTCGTCAACAATGTCGTGCATCTGATGAATAACGCTCTTTGTTGGAACGTGCTCCTTGCACCACACTGTGGCGGACATGACACCAGTTTCGCCATTAATGGTGACGAGATTGAACTGGTCACGACGAGACCCCTTTACAGGGGTGATGTCAAAGCCGAGGAGATAACCCTTTTGGCGAGCGCATTCAACATGAACTGGGAATAGCGATTAGTAGGCATCCAAGAAGTTGAATGAGCAGTACTTACGAGGGTCTCGGCAGTAATGGCAAGTAATGCAAGCACCACCTTTGTGGTTGCAGGCCAAGCAAACCTCATCGTACCTGGCACGAGGGATAGAAGGAATGCCCTCAGATGGACTCAATGCCTTAGCATTGCCAAACTTGACCTCAGGTGTCCAAACAGCACAGGTGACATGGACCCAGTTGTTGTCTGCGGTCCGTTTCAAAGGCTCCCTGGGGTTGACTGGGCGATTGGCATCCTCCTGCTTTTTCTTGTAGTAGTCGGCAGCCTTTTGTGCCTGCTCTCGTTCCATTCTCTCGCGCTCCTTTTCCTTCTCTGATTTCTTCTTGGAAGTAGAGATCTTAGGCTGCTCAACGAAGTCATGCTCAGTATGCTCAATCGGGCACAAGACACACTTGTATTGCTATCCAGAAGTCAGCATATGAAACGAGATTAGTCAAGGGCGGTAAACCACTTACGATCGAAACCTGTGGGCTCTTGTCATTGGCGCACATATCGCAGGTCCACTTGCCAGGGTGCCTGTTGTCGACAACTCCATAACAGTTGCGGTGGACTGTCAGTCTGCATTCCTTACACGATAGATGCTGATCTCCCAAGGGCTCCAACTGGTTGCAAATTCCGCAAGGCATAGTCTTGGGCTTCGGGATTTCTGGAACTGGTGGAGGCGCTGGTTTCTCTTTCTCGACCGCCTTTTCCTTCTTCTTCGGTGGAGCGGCAGCAGGAGCTGAGTCTGAGGCGAGCGACTCTGAGTCTCTCTCTGGGGCTGATCCTTTGAGCTTCTTCCGCGGAGGTTCGCTCGAAGGTGCCGCTGAAACTGCCACAACCGGCTCTGGAGCGATGGCCGGCGGAGGGGTGTTCCAGTAAGTATGCATTTCCTTAGCTGCCTCAAGCTCTTTGAGGAGTTCCTCGTCCTGTCTTTTCTTCCAGGCTCGACCACCTGCTTGAGCGATCTTTTTGGCGACCTCATCCATTTCTTCCCATTGAATGCCGTAGCGCCGCCAGAGCTCCGCGCATCTGCGACAAAGAGCATTGATGTACTGGCCTTTGTCCTTGGTGGAATTCTTGCCCTCGCTGACAGGTGTTCCCGATGCATTGGGAGCTCGCCTCCATTGCCTGGAATATTTGGTGTGGCAGAACTTGCACACGAAGCTCTTCTTCTTGCTTGCCGCCTTGTCGCAATCGAATGCAGAGTCGTCTGCATCATCGGCGATATCGTCCTGCAACTTGCTTGCAGCAACCTCTGCCTTCTTGGCTTCCTTCTTGCTTTTTCTGTTCTGGAAATTTCCCCAGATCTGTTTGCCTTGCGGGGTCTTCTTCCAGTTGTAGTAATATCGTACAATCTCTCCAGGCGAAAGAGTCTTGACGTGTCGCTTGACGAGATAAAGCTCGGATCCGTACTTGCTGACACCTTCCTCGAACCTCTTCTGTTCCGTGGCCGTCAGATCGGGTTCCTTGAAAGTCGCCTTGTTCACTTCCGAGAGCGCCTTCAGTGCGCGATCTTCATCATAGTCACTGCTGTAGTACTTTGCCACAGCAATATCGTGGAAGTTGGTCGAGTTTTTTGCCAGACCAAACTTGGCCGTCAACTCTTCCGCCTTTTTCATGTACCGGTCGAGCTTGGCTTCCCACCCAGTATTCTTCTCAGTTGCTGGGGGAGGCAACCAGATGCGTGTAGCTGTGGCGTTCGGGTCGTCAGGGTCGTCGTCTTCTCCTCTCGCCACATAACCCGCAGGTTCATCTTGAACCCACTTAGGACGCTTCTCACGTCGAATCTTCTCAGCCTCCAGAGCGGCAAGCGCTTCTTTCGATAGCCCGGGCCCTTTCTTCCCTGTCCTCTTGAACTCCAGAGGCTTTTGATACTGTACAGGCTGGCCGGGCCAAGGAAGCACGGGCGCTTGATGTTTGGGACCTATGCGAGTGCTAGCGCGGGGGTAAATTCGGTCATCGTAATCGAGGGCATCTTCGGGCCTGCAATGCATTCCAAGGTAGCGCCAAGGCCACAGGCTGGCTTGGTAGATTTGCTCTGCAGTGCCCGTACGATGGGCGTCGTCGTCCTCAGCAGGACTCGTCCGTTCGGTGTCGATTTGCATCTCATCATCATCGTCGTCGTACAAGTCCTCATCATCAGCATCGCCTGCATTTTCCTTGAGACTGTTCGGGTTGGGAGTATGCCGAGCCTCCAATTTCCGTTCCTGCGCACGACTACAAGCAGCGCAGGACCAAGCGAAGCCTCTGGAGGGTTTCTTGAGCAGGGGCGGCCTGACACAGTTCATGTGGTATGTCTTCTTACACACAGCACAGTCGACCGAGTCATTGCTGTAATGCTGTTAGTGACCCCAACTCTCCATGAGACTGCTGCGTGGGCGGACTAACCTTGCACAGTAGCCGCTGCATCGCTTGCAGGACTTCACCGCACTAGTGAACTCTTTTCCGCGGCCCTGCTCCACAATAACGAATTTCCAGCGTTCGTCTAGCACTTTCTTCACCCTCTCAGGCACGTTCACAATTGTCGACGTAGGGATCAGATCGTAATTTTTCTGGATGTAGCGGTCGTACAATTTTTCGTACCAGAAATTGTCTGAAATTTTTCGGTATTCGTCCATATTGGGAATTTCCGCCTTGTGCAGGATGTGGCACTTACCACGCAAGGCTGTCAAAGGACTGATATCGGAATGCATCGTCGCAAACACTAGTCGGGTGTCATTGACCTTCTTGCCGATATCCTTGGGTCGGTAGAACCAATTGATGCGAAGTGCATCCACCGGCTTTTTGCTGTTATTCTGCATGTGGAGAAACTCCATGATGCGACCCAGGTAATATGGCTCGCCCGGAGGCTCACACACGAGATAGACATTGTCTGTGAATCTAGATCAGCGAACAATCCTCTCCAGGAAGAAGGAGTAAAAAAATTAAGACGAGGCGTAAGGATGATGAGTGAGGGTACGTGAAGGTGCGTGTGTGGTTTGTTGCTGTCTTACCATTGGGTGCTAGTACGGTACCGTCATCCGCCACCAACTTTCCATCTCTGGGGACTGCACCGGAGTTCTCGAAACTGAGCATGTTCGTCTCTGCGTAAGAGCTAGCGTAAGGACCCGACGCCGTTTTTCGTGATGCCCCTGTGCTGGCGCCAGACGACGAGGCCGTCGCAGAAGCATGAGCCTGAGAAGTCGCAGCTGCGGCGTGTAAAGCAGCCTTGCGCTTTTTTGAGGGTTGCGTCGAGTTTGTCGAAGCCGGTGTTTGCGTGGTCGGGGTGGAATTTGCTGGCTGCACGTCCTTTGCTCCGTTCTGAGGGACGGTCGACTTTGTGTCGTCAGATGGCAGGGCCTTGCGGGTTGAGCCGTTGGGTCGCGCGTTCTCCTGGATGGACGCGGCCGACACGTTACTGTGACGCGCCGATTTCTTGGACTCTTGATCCTTCTTCTCTGGGGCGTAATCATACATGTCGACATCGAGATCCTTGTCCTCGGCGTAGTTTGGGCGCGATGAGCCAGTGCGGTTTCGTGACCGCGTCCCATAAGGGTTTGCAGCTTCAAAGGCGGCAGCGTCCTTTGAAGACTGGTCCAAGCCCATGGCAGATGACTTGGTCGTGGGTTGAGCGTTGCGAAGGGCGGCGTCCAGCTCAGTCTGATGTAATTTCTGGGCGGCAGATGTTGATTTGGATGTCGACGCGCCCGAAGTGGCAGGCTGCGTGGAATCCGAGGCGTCTTGTGCAGACGGTGTGGCGCTGGCAGATTGGTCGTCAGAACTGCTGGCGGTTTGGTTTTTCTGTGCCATGATGGCGGTGGCTAGCTGCGCGTTGGCGGGAGGTGAGATGAAATATGTCGGGGCCCTTCCCGCGGGTGACGAGATGCAAGAGGGCCGACAGGGTGAAGTTCGTCTGCAAGGCGGCGGAGGCTCCGATCCATAGGCTGAGCCAGATGGGACCCGACGTCGACTTATCCGGTGAGGCAGGCGGCCGTGAGCCAGACGCAACCCATGAGATGGAGATGGATATGTGTGAGTGACCGTGTCGAGGTGTGGAAGAACGGTATATGTAGAAGGCTTGGAGCTCTATCGACCAGAAAAGAAAGTCGCGGGGGGAAGGCGCGTGGAGGTAGTGACGCGGGTGAGTGTGGAATTTGGATTATGAATGTGGGAGAAGTAGAGATGTGCGTCTGGGTTTGAGCGTGGTGGGCGGTGGTGGTGGTGATGGGTGAGGTGAGGTGAAGTGAAGTGAGTGAGGTGTGGTGGTGTAGATGAATGAGAATGTGAGTGTGAGAGACGAGACGATGGAAAAGCAAAGGGCGAGTGAGAAGCTGGGACCCCAGTAGGTAGGAAACCGACGAGGAAGGTTCGACGGATCCGCGCGACCAGGGAGAATGGAAGCAATGGAGCCAGCTGGAGAGCCGAAATCGAGCGTGTTTGTGAAGGTGGTCAAGATGGGCCAGGGAGGAAGTGATGTGGAAAGGAAGGAAGGTGACGGGAAGAAGAAGATGGGTCCAGGTCCAGACAAGCGGAAGGCAAAATGGTAAGAAACGTCGAAGAAGGTCGACCGACCCCGTACCTGCCTTTTGTTCTGAGGTGTGTAGGTGTACGGTGTACCTTTCATTGCAGCGCCGGCATGGCACCAAGTCCCGTCCGGTCCAGGTCCATGTCCATGTCCAGGACCAGCAACCACAGCAGAGTAAAGCAAAGCAAAGCAAAAGCACCACGCACCGACGAACCTGCACCTGATCCGTCTTTACCTCATCCACTTGCCTACCGATAGATTGGCCTACCTGCTCTTCCCACCTTAACCTGGCTTTGCGACTTGCCTTGTCTTGCCTCATCCATAAATCTGGGCTGCCGCTACGGAGACCGACTGCTACGATGGATGGCTCCCACTGCCGCAACGCAATGAAGTCGGGTGGGTATGTAGCTCTCCCCAGCTAATCTATGGCAAGGTACTCACACACACGGGGCAAGGGCCCAGGGACTTTGATGGGACAAGTAGTATTAATATGGGAGAATGGGGGGAGGGAGAGAGAGTGCGTGTGTGGGCGCCATATGGAAATCTGGAAATGTACGGATACGTACCTGCGTACCGACAGACCAATGCTAAGGTAAGCTAAAGTACATAATGCCTCTCCAGTCCCGTCTGGGCCAGCAGGGCGGCAGCGGGAGCAGGAAAGAAGCAACAGCAGCAACAGAAGCAGGAGAGAGAAAGCAGCAGCGGCAGGCCCCCCTCGCTCTTCTTTTTTTTTCTCTTGCGGATGGATGGGGCTGCGTGGGAGGTGAGAAGTATCGATCTGCTGCAGGTCGGGGAATGCTACTCACGGCTACACACAAAGTACGCGCAACTCTGGGTATCGATACGTCTCCACGACCTGCATGATACAGATGGATCCACTCTGTACCTCTGTACCCGCTCCCGCAGTCATCACTCTCGCACCAAAGACCGGGCAAGGGCCCGGCGACCTCACACCTCACCACAGGCTTGCCAACGCCGCAGAATCCAACCGCACGCCCCCGTCCATCTCACCACCCGTTGCCTTCTATCAGATCGTCACCGTACTTTTGCTGCGGTTTTTGCTCTTCGTTCAGTTTCTTCAATCGGTCCCAAGGGTCTAGCCCCGAACTCAGTCAAAGCAAGTCATAGTTTTACTCATTCGCGTCCGCAGAGGTGCGCGCGAGTGTATGTGCGTGACGGAGGGAGGGAAAAGAGACGACAGATTCCATCGATTGAGTGCGGCACCTTCAAGGTAAGGTTGTCAAGGAAATATCCCACAAGAGGAGAAAGAGACACAGAAACAGATGGGGAGTGGGAAAGAAAGCGAAAGTGTGAGTGGACGATGCCCAAGACCTGCATGAGGCGACGTCTGTCCCTCCGCACGCGCGCCCTCTTTCTCTGTCTCTGTCTCTCTCTCTCTCGCGCGCGCGCGCTCTCTCTCTCTCTCTTCCTATGGTCTCCGTCGTCTCCTGTCCCTGTCTAACTACACTAGCAAAATAGCCATGTCTCTGTCTCTCCGTGTCCCGCTCACTCGCTCGCTCGCTTGGTAGCTAAGGTATTGACGTACCTTGGCTGGTACCCGTTCTCCGTGCATACGCTAGGTACCCTGCCTTCATCGGACATCAGATACCTTGCCCCGACCACATCTCTTGCTATCCGACTTGCCGAATCAATTCTGGATAAATTATATCTCGCACCTTGTGCCATCAAATCGCGCCAGCAATTTGGCCTCATCGGATGCGAGCTATCAGTCTCTTCAATTTGCTTCGCTCGCGATCAAGTCGAGTTAACGACGTTGACGTTCAGAGAGCCTGCCGGCCGGGGCTAGCTGGCTCGTTGGGTCTGGGTATGGGTCGGGGTTCTACGCACACAGTACTTGGCATGGAAGTACGAGTACTTTGGCAGACACGCAGCGCAGCGCGGCACGAGGCGACTGCCTGGGCATTTCATGGCAAGGTGCGAGAAAGTCACTTTTGGCTGTCTTTTTTTTTCACCACACAATTGTTACCTAGCAGGACCATGTCCATCCTGTCTGTCCCTCCATCTCGCCATCTGTTTTGGCACTTTCCCTGCAGTTTTGACATCGCCCGCCTTTCCTAGCCAACTAGTTCTCCTTCCTGCTTTCCTCCTTCACTTTCATTCCCAATCGCGCCTGCCTTTGAATCTGGTCAAGGTATCGACAGTCTTTCCTCTTCAACTCTTATGTCACATCACTCAGTTTACGTCTCAAACGATGTCCGGCATTATCCAGTCAAATCTTGATCAGCGTCTTGATCGTCTTGACCCGAAGAGCCACCGCGATATCTTTCCTGCTCCTCATCCGGTGACAAAGAGCACAGCAAAGGAATGCAGGTGCGAAGGCCCTCATAGGGACTGACAACATTGACTATCGCAGTCGCCGCGCCTCCTCTGCCTCAATTGTTGCTTGCTGATTGAAGGCTGCTGCTTATGTTCAACAGGCTAACGACTCGCCTACTTCTTCCTTCGATGCCCTTCCTAGGTTCGTTGCACCCCCGGCTTGTCCAACCCTGTGGAAACGAAGGGCTCCCTACCACGTAGGGATGTGCCCACGAGATGTCGTCCATACCCCCGTCATCATCCATGTGTGTCGGTTCCATTTCCATCCCACCTCCTGGGATACTCAGTGGCTCTTGGCCGCCCACCCCAATATCAAATCAACAGCACCTCCTGCTCTCGCCGTCTAGCGCCTGGGTTTTCCCTCTCTTTCGCCTTCCCTCAATCAAATAGGCGCCTTTTCAACCGAGCCTGTTTCTGCTTTCCTAGCCAACTATGTCTGTATTCGCATATTGCTCCAGGCTGGCCGATCGACGCCCTACATTAGATGGCTGTCTTCTCCACAAAATGGTGGCCGCATGAGGTGGTCACTTCTGGCTCAACTTGACCTGCACACCAACCGGATGGGACGGTGCCTCATTAATGACACCCAACTTCATACGTATGCTGTCTTCCCTTGGTACTCTTTTTCTTACCCCCCCATTATCCAATTTTCTTCCCCTTTCCAATCAGTCATAGCATGACTTCGGACAACAGACCGACCGTATTGATCCGCCATTCCCTACTACGATTTTCGCACTGAGCTTGGTTATGTGCATCAAAGCCCTGTCAAACTTATATGCACGACATGGGGTAACAAATTCCGGAGGTTATCACGGCAACGCTTCCAATGTCCCCTGCTGTCGGTATTGAGCACCCTTCCTTTGCCACCCTCACCCTTTTCCTTAATCTGAACCTCACCTCTCGGCGGATTATCCCATCGTGTACCAGTTCGCCTGGCATGCAATCTGGGTTTTTGTCAATTACCAGCCCCAGCACTGGTTGTAAACCCAGCCAAGTCGAGACACAGCTGATGCTTCTGATGGATGCAGTTCCACATCGTCAATATCTTCCTAATAATCACTATTCTGCGGAATCAAACGACATGGATTTTTGCACGTGAGCTGTGCGGATACTGCACGTTGTTGGTGGCAGATCAGCCTTGGGCCTCGACCATGTTTGCATCGGTCTTTAGCTTCTTGGGAAACCTACACTCTGAGTTACCGTCTGACACTGTAACGTTCTCATATGAAATGGCGGGTCGCCCAAGCCACGCGACCAAGTTTCCCGTCTGAGAATCAATGAGAGGTAAAGAGCGACAGTTTCAATCAGCAGAGCGAGAGCTGCATCGACAGAGCAGTCAGATGCCGACCGTTGCCCGCCCAGCTTCCGAGGCAAGGCGCGCGCACCACCACACAGAGCACTTGAGGACTACAGATGAGATCGAGGCACACTGGGTCCCGCTCCCGCATTCCCGGGACTTGTTCTGAGGCGAGTGCAATATCCTATTGACGTTTCTGGCGACCGTCCGGTTTGAAGACACATCAGCGCAAACAATACTACGATGTGTTTCAAAGTTCAAACCACAAGCCAGCTCGACCCATTCCCTCCTGGCACGGAGACTCAGCGCGCTGAGGTTTAAGGCGTCGTGGAGAGACAGGTAAGGTACGTAGTACATGGTCATGTATCCCAACGGATACGTACCGACTTGGACGTCGGAGTGGAGCCGCAAGGGACCGCTGGCAGACGACTAAGAGGTACGTATCTTTCCTCCACCATTCCAGGAGTTGCGGCACTACCTTACCTAAGACAACTCGAACGTACCTTATCCCAACGATGATGGGAGACCTGGAGGAACCTTTCTCTCTCGTTCTCTCACCTCCAAGACGCTTGTTTTGAAGGTTTTACACAATCGGTGTCAGGACCTTCAAGTCAGTTTTATTTGAAGAGGGAAACAAAAGGGCACTACTTGCTTTTGTCTCTAGCAGAGATACTGCGGAGTGAAGTTGGTGCTTTCACAGCTTGGGCCACGACCGCGCCGCAAGCCATCGGCGGCAGCGACCGCATCGCGCGAAACAAACGGGGGGCCAGCCTCGGCGAGCGCGACTAATGAGGTGAGGAGTTCTCCGTGGTGTGCAATCGACAACGGGTGTGTACACCCACAAGGCGTACAAGCAGCTGCTTCCAATCTAAGCCTGGATTGTGCAGCCCTGGAGCCGAACGACGAATGGGCCACGTCTTTCTTCTTATGAGCCAAAAATCCATTTACCCCCTTTGTCGCCATCGAATGCTCTCTCTCTGGCAATGGGGATATCCTGCCATTCCATTTGCCGGGTTTCTCAGCAATGTCCACGATATCGAATCCCACCCTTAGCTACGTGTGGCTACCTTGGTCGGAAATACAAGCAGTTCGTTCACGAGTCAATCGAGCGCCTACATTTCAGCATCGCGCGCAGCTTTCCACGATTGCTCTCAAGGGGACATATAAGATGAAAAGGATTGAAACGACCAAAATCGTGATGGCTGTCCGGAATGCTTCTGTCGACTGGATATTATTTGGACGCAATGGCTTTCGCGATCGGTGGTGAAGCCCACTAGCGGCAGACGGGGGACGTCAGAAAAACCAGATAAGATTGACCGCGTTTGTCGGTTGGTCCGGCACGCCGCACAAGAGAGGGAAAAAAGGAAGGGCACCACATGCCACATGTTGCCAGGGGCCGATCGCTGACCAGCAACAAGCGCATTCCCGGCCATTTCCAATCACTCCTAATCTACCGGCTTCCAAGTTATGCGCTGCCTTGAACCCCGACTCGTTTCATCGAATGGAACCCAAGGTCAATACTGCGTATGCAACTTAGGCAGTGGGAGAGCGCGACATTTTTATCCTGAAGATCCGACTTTCACTTAAATGTCAGCGGTAACGCACCAAGGCACACGAGGCAATCGCTCACCCGGTCGGACCAATGACCATATGCCCTGCGCCGAGTCATCGACGCCCCGACTGGAATTGACAATATTGGACCTCGAACCTGGCTGGGCCTGTGCCGGAATTAGTCCCTACGCAGCATATGTCTGCCCTCGAATCTGGTGCTCCGAGCGTGACATGCACAAGGTATGTTCCAGCTGATGTACTGCTACTGGCTCTACAGGTGCAACTGGCTGTATCGATGTGGGAAAAGGTATAAGATGAAGGCCAAGACGTGGGATAGGCTTGACCGAGGTGACAATTTTCGATGCAGTCATTGAGCTGCCAGTACATAGAGTCAGGCTTTAGCTCGCTGTATCCATCAGGTTGACGAATAGCCTCACTCTACGTCGGCGACAGTGTTGGTCATCGAAGGAGGGGAGCCGTTCTGGCTGACCATCTTCGTCATTGGGAGATGGGGTCGTGATCACTGGTGGTGGCAGGCCATGACGGAGCGTTAAGGGATATGTGGGGCCAAATTGAGGATCCCTGTATTGTGACAGGGTCTTGCTCCTCACCAAAGCTAGGCATTGGGGAGCCAATACTTTCCATTCCCTTACCTTACCTTACTGTGTATAATCCTTACCGTATGGTTCCAATGCTCCAATACCACTTGCTCTGGAACCTGGATCATCCTTCGCCCACACGAATTTGTTCTGCGGTGTAGTTTGGGTTCCTGATGGCTGCTGCTGGCCACCTGTCCGGTGCCTCTTACAAAGGAACCGGACCCCCTTGCCCCCAACGCGCGCTGAGAGGCTGACCTGTCCCGCCCTGCCCTTTGTCTTTTTCGACTGCGGGTTCTTGTCTTCCATTGCCAATGGTCGTTAAACGGAGACTACCTATCTAGACTTCTACCCTCCGCACCCCCGATCCCATCCCGTCCAGTCTCTTACAGCTCAGACAAGCCCCCCCCCCCCCCGGGGGCCAAGCGAACTTGGTCTCCCCTCAAAATCTAATCATCACTTGGGGCAGCCCGTAGCCCCCATCGGCTCAAGGTTATCTAGTCCAGTCCCTGACTGCCTACCTTAGTCGGCCCCGATTCCAACAGATTTCTGCAACAGCGATGGAAGGTCAGTGCCACGTCTGATCTATGGAGTAAGGTAGGTAGTCAGCCACGCAGGTCACCAGTGGTACTCCACCAGACTGGGTGTGAGAAGTGTGGCTCGGCCTCAAGTGGGGGCGGT